ACTAACAAGAAAGATGATAACAAAAGCCACATTTTATTGAGCACTTATGTACTGATTCTTTTGTGTGTGTATTTACATGAATTATTGTACTAATTTTTTAAAATATTTTTTATTGATTTCAGAGAGGAAGGTAGAGGGGGAGAGAGACAGAAACATCAATGATGAGAATCATTGATCAGCTGCCTCTTGCACGCCCCCTACTGGGGACCGAGCCTGCAACCTGGCATGTGCCCTGGACCAGAATCAAACCCAGGACCCTTTAGTCTGCAGGCCAACGCTCTATCCACTGAACCAAACCAGCTAGGGCTGTACTAATTCTTATGTGGATTCTATAGGTGAATATACACTTTGCAGATGAGAATACTGAGGATTCTAGAGATTAATTGGTCCAACGTCACCAATTCGTAATAAATGGATTTGGCCCCAGTCAGTCTCACTCCAGAGATTATGCTTTTCACGATTGTTATAGTGTCACCCACGTTCTGCTAGTGGTTATATTCTTCTCTTCTACAGTTAAGCAGATCCCTTTTCTCTTTCCATTCCCTTTGAAAAGATGCTGAGCTCTTTTAAAGTGTATTTTGGTGGGAGACCTTTGGTAATAACGTACAGGTAATTTATGAGAAGCTATCAATGAATGGCTTTGCGATTAGCCAACAAAGTTATGCTAGGACAACCACAGCCACAAGTACATTCATTTTCTAATCATAATTTTGATCACAATTATAATTTTTAATAATGAAAATAAAACACAATATTCTCTTTAAAGAGATTAATTTCTTTCTTCTTTTCCTTCACCTGGTGCTTATTATTCAGAACAATCAACAGCTAAAGGAACTAAATGCCTTCTCCTTTAGAGAGTGTAATACCCTAAAATCCATTTAGCTTAAAGCAATTAAAATGCTGTTTTTAGAGCCAACGCCCCTCCAGGAGGTTGCTGTAACTGTGGAGTATTGTTCAAAATCATGCGAAGAAGAAAAGAAATATCTGTGTCAAAGTACATTTGTGAACAACAGAGCTCCACCTACATGCACATCATGTCAGTGTTTAGACCAGAAATTCTCATGATGTGGTCCCTGCACCAGCCTGCCCAGCATCACCTGGGACCTTGTTAGAAATGCAGATTCTGGGGCTTCCCCCACCTACTGAACCAGAAACCCTCAGGGCGGGGCCTAGCCACCTGCATTGAACCAGACTTTTAGGTGATCCTAATGCCCACTAAAGCTTGGGAACTACTGATACAGGGAAATACTCTGCTACCAAAACAGCTGCAACTGAAACTTATAGGTGTAATAGTCTTGTTTATCATTCCTCTTGGTAAATACTAAGCGATTTACAAGCATTACTTACATATGTTTTCCCACATCACAGGTTTGCCTATAATCTTTAGTTGCATACTAATCTCAGCTTGAAAACTGCCTCTGTTTACATTCAGTATTTGCCTATAGTTTATAATGTTTATCTCGTGCTTCTCTGGCCAAAATAGATGGCTTTACCATGTGAAGTAGATGACATTTGTTTAGCAATATTCCAAAGCCTTTCTAACACGGTGGAAAACAGCTCTTGTAAATAGCCATTGTACTGTCAAAACAACATTTCATTTGCTCAGTGAGAATCTATTTATATTTGCTGTTTTAAGTGATAATGAGAATATGAACTGTAAGTCTAGGCTCCTGAGAGAGATGCTCCTCTTCTCCCTCGTGTGTGGCTCCCTTTGCATCTGTGATTCATAATCCACTTGCGTCATGAAACATCGATGAAGGGAAGCCGGTGACAGTAATGGAGCCCTGTTAGGTCAGCTTCACAGGACAGACAGATCGTGTTTCACCAGAGAAAAGTGCCTCTAATGAAAGGAGGTGGCTTGGGACAAAAATATTGGTGCTTTCTTTTTCTTCTCCTAATGCCATTCATGGCTCATCCATGACATCATTATAAAAATGCACAAAGTTCATGTTTGACTATGGATCCACAGTTTAAAATTCACTCGTTTGTTTATTTCATTGATGAGGGAACCGGCAGGAAGACAAGAGAGTTGATTCTAAAGCAAAGGACTGAGGGACAGAGACTTATATAACCAGTTGGGAAAGGAGGGCCAAAAGGAGTTTGCCAAGTTAGATGGAAAGTGCTGAGTGAAGAACAGTTGTGCTATAGAACAGTGGTTTTCAAACATGACTGCTTTTCAAAATCACCAGAGGAGTTTTTCCAACTTTTAATGCACAGGCCCAGCCCCAGAGATTCTATTTCATTGGTCTGGGGTGGGACCCAGGCCTGTTCAAGTGATTCCCATAGAAGCTGGGGTTGAGCATTCCTGCAAGACAGCAGTCTAACACATGGCCAAGGAGCCTCCCTGCCCAAATAGAAGGGGGGCGGGATACTTCATGCCACAAGCCTGTCTTCTCCTATTCCCCAGGGCCCAGCTGCCTTATCAGTGCACTCCCTCAGCCTGCCATGCATCCATCCACAGGCATCCTTGCGGCACGAATCACTTGTCAGGCCCTGCTTGGGATGGGGCAGTACAAAAGTTTCCAGACAAATTCTTACCTGCATGGATCCTACAGTAGAGTCAGAAGATAGACAAGAAAACAAATAATTAAATGGAGAAAATTCGGAAACATCCTGATTACTCCTGGAGAGAGTTCTGAACAAACTACAGTACATGGTTCTTACTAGTGCTAGGAAATCCCTGGGAAGAGTGAGGTAGATTGACACGTACAAATTGTGGAGACTCTCCAAGATATATTGTTAAGTAGAAAAAAGTAAGCTACAGAATAGCATATCATTTATGTTTCAAAATTTTGAAACACATTATGATGTTCCATCAGTGCATAAATATATATGTAACTGCAAAGAAAGTCTAGAGGTGCACCTCTTATTTTCCATAATTAATGTTTTTTTCAAAAATAAAGTATTCATTATTTGTCAAATTTAAAATTAGTACCACTTTTAAAAATTCCAGCAGACTCTTTGGGGGGGTCTTCTGGAAATATTTTCATTTAACTAAGCTGGGTAGCACTTGCCTGTTAATTGTGACAAAGCAGTTGGAGCTATCAGACATGATTTTATCTAAGTGACTATTATTTAACAGAGAGCAATGTCCTAAGGAAATAGGGCATTAGACAGATGTGCCAATAGAGGGAAGGCAATGGGAAAAGAATCCAGAATGAGGACCTGCTGCATATTTAAAGAGAAAGACCCAGCTGCCAGCTTTCATCTCTGAAGCTCCCACAGTTTTACCCGAGGCTGGTCCTTCTAACCAGCTGGAAGCTTGAATATCAGCTAGTCTAGTCTTCCAATGGAGAGTCTCCATTCTAGCTGCATGTTAGAATCATATGGGAGACTTACAAAAAGATTAATGCCTGGCACCAAGACCAATTAAAGTTAAACCTTCAGGAGGTTGGGCCTGGGTGTTGTTTTTAGTATGACCAGGCCTAAGACCCTGTGAGAAGAATCGTGCATGCCTGGCCAGCTTGGCTCAGTGGTTGAGCATCGACCTATGTGAATCAGAGGGTCAGGTTCGATTCCTGGTCAGGGCACATGCCTGGGTTGAGGGCTCGATCCCCAGTGTGGGGCGTGCAGGAGGCAGCCAATCAATGATTCTCTCTCATCATTCATGTTTCTTTTTAAAAGAATCATGCTTGCGTTTGATTCTTTTTGGCACCATTCCAGTTTGGGCAACATCCATGCTTGCAAAGTACTCCAAAATCCGTTGCAGTGCTGCCAAACTCTAAGGGAATATGGAAAAAGGAAAAGCATTTGTACTTTTGTGCTATGTGATTCCAATATTATAGCACCATGTGTTTGGTTCATTTCAGGCTCGACTGACCAAAGAACAGCGCTGGGGAAGTGCATTACTCTCCAGAAACCACTCCTTAGAAGAGGAATTTGAAAGGGCAAAAGCAGCAGTGGAGGTAACTTTTTAAAAAATTGCTTTTATTTCGTGTTTCTGAGAGTGGAATTCAAAAACTCAAAATTCAGCAGGGTACACCTGAAATGGGTCTTACTTTATAGACATGAAATAACCGTGATTATGATTATCAGAATGAAACCCGTTACGAGAGTACTTTGGACTTCCTACCAGGAGTGACTAATAGATGTTACCTCTTATGCCGATTCTGTGATAGATTAGCAGTGACTGGCTGGAGTCCTGGGTCAGAAAGAACGTTGAGCCTCATCTGGGTTCTATGATGAATCTCTGCTATGCATTTTCTATGCCTTTCTCTGTGAGGCCAAGATTCATGCCTGGCATTTTCATCTTCTCTAGCATCTACACAATGTCTGAAACATAGAAGGTGTCGCTGCCCCAGAAATATTATACATTTCCCTAACTGAAAAGGTATGGCTGTGATATTACAGCCAATGGAAGGCCTATCTTGACTCAAGCCATAATTTTTTACTCTTAAGCATATCCAAAACAAATGGCAAGATTTCATTCTTTTTTATGGCCAAGTAATATTCCATTGTGTATACATACCACATCTTCTTTATCCAGTCATCTGTCGATGGACACTTAGGTTGTTTCCATATCTTGGCTATTGCAAATAATGCTGCAATGAACATAGGGATGCATATATCTTTTCAAATCTAAAAAACAAAGTTCACAAATAAACAGAAAAAAACTCAAAGATACAGAAAATAAACTGATGGTTGCCAGATGGGAGGGATAGGTAGAAAGATGAAGGGATTAAGAAGTACATATTGGCAGTTACATAATAGTCATGAGTTATAAAGTACAGCATATGAAATATAGTCAATAATATTGTAATAACTATGTATGGTGTCTGGTGGGTACTAGAGATATGGGGGGATCACTTTGTAAGTTATATAAATGTCTAACTACTATGTTGTACAGCTGAAACTATATAATATTGAATGTCAACTGTAATTGAAAAGTAAAAAAAAATTTTTTAAAGAGTATGCCAAACAATAACAATGTTGATATAGTAAATAAAATGAGATACTTAATTCGAACATGAATTTTCTTTTTTTAAATATATCTTATTGATTTTTTACAAAGGAAGAGAGAGTGATAGAGAGTTAGAAACATTGATGAGAGAGAAAACAGATCAGCTGCCTCCTGCATACCTCCCACTGGGGATGTGCCTGCAACCAAGTTGCATACCTTTGACCGGAATCGAACCTGGAACCCTTCAGTCCACAGGCCAACACTCTATCCACTGAGCCAAACTGGTTAGGGCTCAAACATGAATTTTCTTATTTAGCCTTCTAATGAGGAAGAAAGAAAGAACGGAGGGAGAGGAAGGAAGGAGGAAAGGAGGAAGGGAAGCCAAAAAGGACAATCTTTGCTGTTTTTTATCCGTTTTCTTTCTGGTCAGAATCACAAAGAGTACCCCACAGATGCTGTCTGTGGTACTCATCAGAGCTGTGCTAGATTGCTATGTGAGAGTGGCTCTCACCGAACCCAAGCAGGAACTTGTCAGGATCTCCATTTCTGCTACTGATAGGAAGTCTTGAAAACTGAAAGTATTCCTGTAATATGGCTCATTTATGTGGCTGTCTTACCACTAGAATTTGGATGAAATTATTGTACTATGAACAGTCTTTCAGTAACTTCATACTTAAAGTGCAGTTAAATCATATTTCTAATTTAATAGTAAAAGGATTCTTTATATTCTAGAAAATAATTCCAGCCATAATCTCATATCATCATTCAGAAACCCAATAAGAGAACACTTTTTATCTGATCACAATACAATTTACCCGAATTTCTTTTTTTAATTTTAGCCTTTTTTACTTTAAAAAATTAATGCATTTTAGATCTCTTGAATGTGATCAACTGATATATTTGATTGAGATCCGCTGAGACCACATTGTCTAACTGCATGGAGCCTATAGCTCAATTTATTTTAAATGTAGATTTTTTTTCAGACTTAAGAGCTCATTTAAATTTATCTTTTGAACTACTGTGTATAGCACACTGAATTAGTATTAAAAAGGAGATTATTTAAAACCATAGCATTTGGGTCACCAAAGACAGAATTGATAAGATCCCATTTAGAATGAGAAAGACAATGGGTTCACACTCAAAAGGCTTCATTTCAAAGTAACAAATCAATAAGACAAAAATTATCCATCTATGTGTGCGATATATAGATATAGATATATATTGATATAGAGATATATACTCACAAAATCATTTCATCTTAGTTTTGGTAAAGACCTTAGAAGTTATTTATTCCAACCAGGCACACAAAATATATTTTTCCTACTCAAGCATACTTGACAAATTATTCATTCAAACATAAACTGTTTCTACTTGAACACTTCTAATTAGGAGCACCTCACTTCTTTTCAAGAAAACCTGTTTTAGTTTTGGATAGTCCTACCTATTAAAAAGCTCTTCCCTGGTCTGGCCGGCATGACTCAGTGGTTGAACATCGATCTATGAACCAGGAGGTCACGGTTCAATTCCTAGTCAGGGCGCTTGCCCAGGTTGTGGGCTCGATCACCTGTGTGGGGCATATAGGAAGCAGCTGATTGACGATTCTCTCTCATCATTAATGTTTCTCTCTCCCCCCTCTCCCTTGCTCTCTGAAATCAATAAAAATATATTTAAAAAAGAAAAAAGCTCTTCCCTGTATTATGCTGAAATTGGCCTACGACAACTCCCAGTGTTGCTTAGTCTTGGCTTTGCCCTCTCCAGAACAAGGCAGAATGAGCTGAATCCCTTCTCTACATGACAGTTACCTCATTCCTTGTAGACTTATCTTTTCCTGGCTTCTCTTAGTTATTATTTCAACTTCTCTCTAATAGCTTCATTTCATCAATAGTATAGGCCTCAGTCCCCACACCTGTATAGTCCTTTCCAGCTACTAAATCCTAGGAGGCTGTAAGTTACTTCAAGTAGTCATTCATTCAACAAACATTACTGGCTGTCTACCTGTGCTGACTGCTGTAAGCATAAAGAAAGTGTGTGTTTAAATGCTAACACTAGTATTCTTGGATGGCTAGATTTGGATTTTATTCTGTCTCTTAGTTTATCTGTATTTTCCAAACGTTCCATCATAAACATGCATTATGTTGGTAACCAAGGAAAACGTGGTAAGTTACAGACATTAGAGAGGGTTATAAGATGCTTAAGAGAACGAAAAGTGCCCCATTCTTCATTTCAAGGCCAACAAAGAATGGTGTCACAGACCGGCTTCATCAGAGACAGGCAGTTCCAAACACTAGTTAAGACCCAGAGGAAAATCATTTTCTAAATTGAATTTTTCCAAAGTCTCCATTTTATATTTTATATCATCTGACTTCAATATTCTTTCTCTTTCACAGTCTATTCCATCCTTAAGTGCTATTTTTTTAAATTCCATTGATGTCTTTTTTGTCACCATCCTGCCTAAGAACCTAGCAGCTCCTGCTTCTCCTCAATCCCCTCACGAGCACCAGAGGTGCCAGTGTCCTCCTTTGCCTCTTGCACAACAACCTCACTGCCCTCTGTTTCCACTCTGTCCTTCCTCTGCAGGGAGCACTCCCCCCAGATCCTCAGGGGGCAGGTTCCTTCCTGTCATTCACGTTGCAGCCGGAGTGTCAGGGCCTCAGGAAAGCTGAGCCTGCCCACCCAGTTGCTACCACAACATCTAGAGTGTTGTTTTTCTCCTCATATTTATCACGGGGTTTTTTCTTGTTTGTCTTTATTGTGTGTCTGTTTGTTATCTGTCTTTTCTGCTTTAAAATGTAACTCCCATGAGAAAAGGGTCCTGGCCCGATATTTACCACTGTACCTCAATATCTAAGACACTGTCTGGTACCTAGTAAGTATTTAGTAAATATTTGTTGAATTAATGGATAGATAGCTGATTATTCATCCCCTAAGTCGGGCCATTCTGTCTATCTACCGTTGCATATAAAGTGCCATATCACCTCCTACTATAATGGAATATCTGCATTTTCATAACTAATGTAAACAAACGATTCTGTCTAAGGCATACCGGTTTCTGCCAGGGACTGTGCCTCTGTGGTCTCAACCTCAATGTCAGCCGGCGAGACACACCTACAAGGATGCAGGTGGCACCAACCAGTCTTGCCGTAGAGTAACATTGGGCATGTCTTGTATTTTACATGGTACACATGAGTTTTTACTTTTACTAAGTAACACCTGACAACATGTCATTCAACTAATGTTTGGGCTAAAATACAGTATCTTCTACTGGAGAAAAGACAGCCAACTCCACAGGCCTATTGATTGCATATCTTAAATGACCTGGGGACTGTTTATGTACAAAGGTTGACACTGCTCGAGCTCAAGTTGCACTATGGATCTAGTGAGGCCTTGTATGGGTGAGGCATTTTGCCTCTGTATCTCACATTTTATTGAAAAAATCACTGCAAATTTATCCCTGCCTAAAGTATTGTAATTTTAGAAAAGAAAAAAACAAAACACCAAAATTCCTGTTCATTCTTCCCGGAACAAGAATGGAGAGGGGATTCCTTGGGGACTTTCCTCCCAGCCAGCAGCCCAAGTGCACCGTCAGCTACAAAGTGTTCCTAGGAAGGACGCCCAGGGAGGCACGGGCGTGGGAAGCAGGGAAGGAGCCTGAAGCTGCCTCCCAGAAAGGGAGATCCCTAGTGAGATCTGGCATCTGCAGAGGAGGGAGAAGGTCACGCAGGCAGCTGGCAAGCCTGCAACCACACGTCAGAAACACTTCCTTTATCACCCGTTAGCGGGGAGGGAAAGAGCCAGTCAGCATCTAATATTGAGTTTAGCTAGTTAGTCTGGCTAGGAGCCTCACCTTCAAATTCATCAGACATGTTTAAGCTTCTTCTGTGGGCCAGGCACTGTGCGGGGGCCAGGCACTGCGGGGTGCTAGAAATAGAAAATTGAATAAGACCTTCTCTGCCCTTACAGAGCTAGAAGAATCACAGGTGTAAGCATCTCAGGGGACAACTCAAA